ACCACCAGCCCCAAGGACACAGCAAAGGGAGATGGAGCAACTGCATGGACAGGCAGCAGCTGCTTTAATTTTTTGCCTTCTCTCAGATGCATGTGCACATGCACAGGGACACATCCCTGTACACCTGCACAGGACCTGTTATAGGTTATGAATAATGAATACAATCTGTCATTTTGTCTGTACAAACATGACTGAAGTTCGGTGCACCTGCGCACGTGTGCAGGACCTGTCATACACCCACATATCATACAAGGATTCACTGACCTCAACTTCCCCCAAGTAGTGGGTGCCGTAGACAAGTGCCACTTTCTGATTGTGCCATCCTTGGGGTGAAGGAACGAGTTTGTCAACTGAAAAGACATCTACTCTGTCATCCTCCACAAAACATGTCCCACACAGATCAGGGAGGAGGGGAGAGGTACATTCAAGGGAGATTTGTGTGGACAGATTGGATACATGTAGCTGATGGTCATGCAAGGGACATGGTCAACAGGACACATAGACAAACGTTACTCCAGGAGCCCCCAATAATTCCAGGATGTGGTGTGAGGGTCTTATACACACCTGCAAAGAAGAGGTCACAAAAGCCTCTTTCATGCACACAGCTGTGCATACTGACAACAAACACACATGCAACAGAATGCATTTATTGTCATAACAGAGGACAGTTGCTATGGCGCATCTGTAGGGTTACAATTAGGGTTAAGGTTAGGATTCTAATATTCAAGGGCACCTGCGCCAGTGCATCCATGCCTGGAAGCATAGAACGCTTTAAATTAAAACCTGCATCATAGGGTGCATGCTCTGGATCGCCGACTCAATTTCTGCCACATGTGCGATGGTGCATTTATATGGCCATTTTTGGGTGCACCAGTGTCGCTGCATACAGACGCACATACGACTGTGTGCATCTTCGCCAAAGGAGCAGAAAAAAGTGGCTCCTTTTTGGAGTGGCTTTTCTTGGCATACGACGGCTAGAGCCCACTTTCCTGGTGAGTTTTAGGCATGCGTCGTCTAAACGCCACACCTACAAGTCACCCTCAAAACACCTTTTTTGCCCATCTGCATAGCCCCTTAGGGGGGATGCAGACAGGTGGCCCTGGGCTGCCTCGGGAAGCAGAGGATTGAGGCAGAGGCTGCCAGATGCCTCAGCCCTGATCCTCCCTTTTGCCGCCTCAGAAAGGAGCGACAAAATGCCACTCCTTTCAGAGCCAGCAAAAAGGACACCCTAAGAACTAGCATGCAGCCTTTTAGCACCCCTTCCATCACAGCACATCAAAAGCTATGGCAGAAGGATGTCCTGATGTCGTGCACCATGCGTGGTGTCAGGACATCTTCGGGGAGGTGTTGAGGCAGCCGGCGTGTGGCTGCCCCTCCCCATCCCCTCCTCCAGGACGGCCCAAAGGGCCTGTCTGCAAAGGCCCCAAGTTTCAAAGGTGCTACAAGATCTCTCTAATACTGATTCCACTTGAATGGGAATCAGTGACACTATAGAAGCAAATACCTCTCACTAAACTGCAAATCCCAGAATTACATGGAAAGAAACAATAGTATGTGGACTCATAAACTATATTTTTATAATAGGATTGAACCCTTAGTTTTGGTGGTTTGTTTCCACAGTAGGGAGAAAAAAACACTGTCTGAAGGGATGCCTAGGTACCGGTGGGAAGGAATAATTGATGGCTGTCCCTATGGGGAACAATAGTGCTATCAATAGTGTATATCAGGGGTAGGCAACCTTTTTGAGCCGGGAGCCGGCCCCCCGAAGTCGCCCCTTCTGGCAGGCCGAGGGGGGGGAATGGCGGTGCGCGCAACCCCCCTTCGTGCACCGCCGCTGCCACTGCCACAGCCACCGCTGTGCGCATTGCCGCAGTTGCCTCCGCGCATGGCGCGGCCGCCATTTTGATTTCCAAAATGGCAGCTGCAACATGTTTGCATATGTGCAGAAGTACTGCGCATGCACAAAAGAGTCGTGGCAAAATGGCGGCCGCGACTTGTTTGCGCATGCGCAGTACTCCTGCGCATGAGGAAACATGTCGCGGCCACCATTTTGGAAATCAAAATGGCGGTCGCAGCACACCCGGCCACCTGGCGACCAAAACGTGCAGTGGCGGCGGCGGCAGCAGGGGTCCGCCTGGGCCGGTAAGTGTGGGGCCCTGGGCCAGAACCGGCCCATGGGCCATAGGTTGCCGGCTCCTGGTGTATATAGTGTGGAGGAGGGAGGTCATACCGCTATCTATGTGGAGAATGTCCCCATCACTGTGAGCTCATTGAATGGGGACTTTATTTATTTATTTCATTTATATGTCACCATATCACCTTTCTTCCAGAGTGGGACCTAAAACAGTTCACAAAACGAATCATTTAAAACCCAACAATAAAAATAAATAAAAATAATTAAAGTTGTCACATTAAAACAGTATGAATTTATTTAAAAGTTATACAAAATTTAAAAGATAAAACACACACTCCAATAAGAAGTCTCTTTCCACGTGATTACATATTAAAAGCCTGCTTGAATAGAAAGGACCTTCCATGCATTGTACTATATATGACATATGGGTGTCATTGCCAACTCAGAGTCTGACTGGTGTATGTTTGTGTGTGTTGCTTCTTTTGCTGTGTTTGTAGGGGGTGGGGATGATAGCTATTTTCCTGTTATGTGGCTAAGGGTTTCCCCCCATTCCCCCGCTTTTTACTCTCCATCTGCTCTGCCTCTTAAAATTTGGCTGTAGTTCTTTTTTCAATGCTAGATGCCCACGAGAATGTTACATCTCAGTGAGAATAGGTCTGTGCAGTAGTTGCTGAATTAGATAACATTTCATTGCTCTGTTGTGGCAATGTGGATAGAGTGGTTGTTGTGCAGACAGCTATTTCTGATTCCTGTCCTTGCTAATGAAGTCAGTGGGAGGGACAGATTCATGGAGGATATTTAGTGTATAGAGGAGACTTTATCAAGGGATGCTGTCCATGATATGTCTCAATATATTTTTCTGAAGAATGAGAGCGGAAGGTGCTTTTGGCATTCATGTCTGCTTTCAGGGTCCCTATAAGCATCTGGTCCTCTACGGTGAGAAAAGAAGGTGGGACTAGACAGGCTTTTGGTGTGATCTTGCATTCTTCTATTCCTTCATCAGGGTTCCTTTGCACTACACTGTTATAGCATTATAATTCCCCTTTAACTGCCATGGTTAAATCCTATGGAATCATGGGATTTCAGTCAAGGATAACAATAGCAAGTAGGTACATTTCTATACCGCTTATCAGTGCACTTAAGCACTCCCTAAGCAGTTTACAATGTGTAAGCTAAATGCCCCCAACAAACTGGATAGTCATTTTAGCGATCTCGGAAGGATGCAAGCCTGAGTCGAGCCTGAGCCTGGCTGGTATTGAACTCACAACTTTATGGTCTGCGAGTGAGTGGCTGCAGTACAGGCATTTAACCACTGCATCACCAGGACTCTTCCAGGATGGGGTATTTAGAATTCTCAGCCAGAAAGCTCTAGTGCTTCACCAAACTTACAAAGCCCAGGATTCCACAAGATGTTGCAATGACAATTAAAGTGGAGTCATAACACTATATTTGTGTCTTGTAAAAGATCCCCTGGTCAAGAGCTGATACAGAGTTGCACCATTAAAAAAATTTTGGCGGTAGATTGAAGGAACAAAGAATTCAGTTTAGATGTGTCCCTCCCAAGCTATGCCCATCTCAACCCACCTTGTTTTATGCTTTGGTTGCTCTTTTTCACTGGCCTGTCTTTTATTAGTGAAACAATGGAATTATTCTCCTGTATGTCAGGGCAGAATATCAATCATATTGTGTTGTTGTTGTGTCTTCAAATAATTTCTGACTTATGATGACCCTAAGGTGAGGCTATCATGAGATTTTCTGGGGCTGAGAGTGTGTAACTCACCCAACATCACCCAGTAGGTTTCCATTGCTAAGACCTTGATCTCCAAAGTCCTCATCCAATGCTCAAACCACTACACTATGATATATTTGCCAGTCTGCTAGACTGAGAGAATTTCCAGTATAGATTTATTTCCCTATAGTTTGTGACTTAGTTTTGGTATAGATTGATGCCATTATAGTTTGTAATTTACTTTGATTATGTCTGAGAATGACCAACTATGAATCGTAATGGGGTGAGTGGAATTAAATTTGAGGGGAAGGTAGGAAAATATATAATGAGCAATCAAATAGAAATAGCATTGCTCATTAGAGCAAAGTTTAAGTACAGCTTTACTTCTCTGGAGGGATTTAGCTTTCTGTTGACTTCACTGAAACAAAATCATCTCAAGAGTTTTACAGAGAAAAGCTGACACAGTAATGTTGCTTTTCCAAGACACCATAGATTTTATACCAGCAGTTTAAGCTCATTACTGTGTGGGGTACTGCTAGCCTGATGTAAAAAGATATTTCTTTCTAACTAGCAGAGAATGAAAGGACCTTTAAAACAGATTTTGCCCAAAACTGGTTATTCAATTCCTAAACATTACTGTTTTGCCATCATATAAATACATAGATATATTTTGGAGGACAAATGGAAGACAGGAGCAGGTAGCATGGTGTAGTAGTTTGAGCACTGGACTATGACTCTGGAGACCAGGGTTCAAATCCCTGCTTTTTCATAGAAACCCACTCAGGACGTTTTCACACGGGGCCTGAAGCAGAAGCAATCCTACCTAATTCCGGCTCCATGCCGGATCCTTTGCCTCTGTTTTCACACAACGTCGCAGCAAACCCCGCCCCATCCAGTGCCATCCCCGGCGCAATCCTGCATCATGCCGGGTCCTTTCTCCGTGTGTTCACACGACGTCGCAGCAAGCCCCACCCCATCCTGTCCCATCCCCGGCGCATTGCAGCATCATCCCCGTTCTTTGCAATTCCTCTTTTAAAGAGGAATTGCATCTGCCGCGGCCAGAAGCAATGAAGAATCATACCGGAATGATGCTGCTTTCACTGTCTGAAGCTACAGGATCCATTCCGGTATGATTCTTGATTGCTTCCATGTGGCTTTGAGACCCCAAGTGTGAAAACGTCCTCAGTGACCTTGGGCAGATCACATTTTCTCATCCTCAGAAGAAGGCAAAAGCAAACTCCCTCTTGCCAAGAAAACCCCATGATACGGTCGCCTTAGGGTCACTATAAGTCAGAAATGACTTGAAGGCACACAACAAACAAATGGAAGACAGAAAAAGATTAGAGTTTTTCATCTGATCATGCATGTATTTGGGCACAATTATTTTATGGACTGTATAATTGAATTTATGACTATGTTTATTAGAAAATGTTCTACTTCAGTAAAAAGGCCAACTAAAATTTAAGTTTAGATTCCTCCAGCTCATTTGTTGATCTGCTTGAATTTTATATTACCTTCACATTCATAAAACCCCCTGTCCATACAGAAAGTGCCAGCAAATTTCACTGTGGCTTATTTTAGCAATCTCCAACTTGATATTTTGGATCAATTTTGTGAAAGCTGGATAAAATTCATAAATCAACTTGACTGCTTTCCTCATGTTGGCCATTTGTAACATTTTTCATGCCTAAAATTCAGTTTTGATATCTGATAAGAAACAGCTAACCCTTTTTTCCCTCATTTAACAGTTCCACTTTAATAATTAAAACTGGAATTCTTTTTAAAAAATATCTTGATGCCTAGATAATACCTAGAGGTGGAAAAATTACCTTTTTGGACTATAATTCCTAGGCTCTTTCCAGATTCATATGTGATGGTAGAGGAAAGCAACTCTTCTCAGGAAAATTTCTTTTTTCTACTGTTTTATTTCAGGATGCTCATGTTTGACTATAAAATCCTAACTAGCTTATCATTATAAAATCCCAAATGGCCTGTAGTCAGGGTATGTTTGAACAGTGTTCTCATATGTGATTTTACCCATTTATTAAGCCATATATGAGTCATTATTTGAGGCTGTCATGTGTATGTCCTACCTACATAAATTAGGTAGGTAGTTACTTAATGGACAAGACCTTCTTAGTAGTGATGCCCTGCTTTGCAATAGGTTAACTAAAGGCTTTTCCTTATGTGTTTACTTATTAGTATTTATTATTAATTATTTTTATTTATTATTTTTTATTACTTAGTATTTAGCTATTTAAGATTTAGCTACTCTAGTGTGTTTTTATGTGTGTATAGGTGTTCTTTGAACTAATTTTTCTAATATATGGCTATATTGCTGAGGGGCAGGTAAACTCAGTTGCCCTCTCTGAATGAGTATTGCTGTTTAGAGATATGTGTCCATAGGATATGAGCATGAATATTCATTGGCATTTTCTGATCTAATAGGTAAGCTGTAGAATTCACAGGGTTTTTTGGGGGGGAGGATTGTACTGTTTTAAGTGTACTGTTTGTAAGCACTTTTATATTTTTTAAAACTACATTTTATACTTTTAATGAATGATGTGTTTTAATACTGTAATGGTTTAATTCTGTTTCAATGCTCACTTTTGTTTGTTTTTAATTGTGTGGTTCTTTTAAATGGTAAGCTGCTTTGAGTCCCAATTTTGGGGGAAACATAGGGTTTAAATAAATATAATAATAATAGTAAATATAAACACCAATATTGATATAAAACCTATACTGAAAATATTTTTCAATTTAAATTATTTCACGCTAATTAAAGAAATGTAGCAGTAATAGGACAGAAACAGCTTGATGTAGTGGTTTGAGTATTGGACTAGGATTTCAGGAGACCAGGATCTGAATCCCTGCACAGACATGAATTCACTGGGAGATTTTGGGCAAGTCACATTCTCTCAGCCTCAGAGGAAGCTAATGGTAAATGCCTCTGAACAAAGCCTCCCAAGAAAGCCCTGCAGTAGGTTTGGCATATCATAGCTGCATATTTAGCACTATTACTTATTGTTTCTTTTCTTCCGTGTGCCTTCAAGCAACTTCTGACTTACAACAACTCTGATAATTTATGCAAAGGGATATTGATAATTTATAATACCCATATAAATTCCAAATAACATTTAAGTAAGCTTATGTAATTGCCAAACCTCTCAGATTTTTCTTTCACAATGAGGTCATTTTAAAGAGTAAAGATAAATAAAAAATAGTATTGCATTCTTGTATTGCATTTTAGTATTTTATATTGAAGTAGTTTTAAATGTTTTATTCTGTTGTAAAGCACCATGTATATCAATGGCACTATATAAATAAACAATAATAATACATTTTCAGAATAGAACTGCAAGCAGAAGTTCTTTTTTCATGGATTATTCTGCAACAGTGTACACTTCTCCTCCCACATTCACTGGGCCACAGGACCCCCCTGAAAGTGAAAAAGCCACAAATAAATAAATAGTACTTTTTTAACCTGAGAGAACACTTCTCTAGGAAATTTTAGGTCCTCCAGCAGAACTCTTATCGTCAACATCTGCCAGAATTTGACCATAGAATCATATTGCAGGACCTACAAATGCCTAGAGAAGTGTTTACTGTAGGAATCTTTAGGTCCTCCAGTGCAACTCTATGATCAACTTCATCAGAATTTCTTTAGAAGGCCTAGAGATTCCTAGAGAGAGAGCATATTAATCAAATCTGCAAATAATCAAAGCCACAAAAGTCAAAGCTGCAAATGTGGAGGGATGAGTATACAGTCACCCTCCATTTTTATGGACTTCAAGTCTGTGTCCCTCGCCCGTTTGCAGGCGGTGAATGGAGGGGGACAAAATGGTGCATGTGCCCATGGATGTGCACCTCCATTCAAGCCAATGGGGCTTGAATATCCACGATTTTCCATGGGGGGGGAGCAGAACAGATCCCCCATGAGAACAGAGGGGTGATTATATATGGATTTGAAATTCCAGGTGCCCTTTTGGGAATTGAAGTGCACACTCAGCAACAGGAACCATTTCAGAATCTGCTAAGCCAGGGGTAGGCAACCTTTTTGAGCCGGGGGCCGGGTTGCTGTCCCTCAGACAATTGACGGGCCGAAGCACCAAAAATAAATAAATAAATAAATAAATAAAAATTAAAATTAAAATTAAAAAAGAATTAATTTTTTTTTAAAAAAAAATGCATGCACACTCTCTCAGCCCCAGAAAAGCCATGGCAAAACCCCTGTGAAGATTTTGCCAAGAAAACCCCAAGAACAAGTAATAACAACAATAATCAATATCATCATGGGGGGCGGCGGTGGGGGGGGCGGCGGCGGCAGGACCGGTTTGGGGCCGGTCCAAAGGCCTTGCTGGGCCGTATCCGGCCCCCGGGCCTTAAGTTGCCTACCCCTGTGCTAAGCAATGACAGCACCAGCAGGAGGCAAGAAGTGGTAACAAGATGGGAATAGAAAGTGAGGAAAAGTCAAGAAGTCAACAAGGAGGAATTATAGGAGAGCACCTTGTCTCATGAGTAATTTTACAGCCTGGATTTAACTTTCTCACAGGGGTCCTCTTGTCAACAGCCTTGTGTATTACTTCAGTTGTAACACACAAATAGTGTTTCTGTTCACCATCACCGTGGCAGAATACACTGCCATTCTGTCTTATGCTTTAAACTGTTTCAACATTCATGGTATTTTTTTTTTTGCAAAATCCTGTTAAAAATAAATATTCTGAGCAGGTTCAATTTCATATATTAAAGTAATCTGAATCCAGGACTCCCAGGTAAAATACAGGACTTCTATAACATTTAAGGTTGTACAGAAGAGGGAATTCCAGTAGGTGTTTCTTGTGTCACAAGCAACTCCTGCTGATATTCCTGCTTCTGTAGAACTATTGAATGTTACTGGAACCCTGGTCTGTATTTTACTGGCAAGATTTTAAAAATTAGAACAGCATAATGATCATTGGAATAAAATAGAGTTTGTGTCTGGTGCCCTGAGGCTAACCACATTTCTTAGATCTCTATCTTGTTTCATTTTTTAATTGTCTGTATCTAGTTGAGAACAGAGGAGCCCCTGTTTCATGCAAATAGACACACCCTACCAAATGCTATTGCCATGTGACAGTGAACTAAAAGTAGGCTTGAGATCAGAATAAGATCATTTCTGCAACCATGTATAAGACCATCTTGTGGAATAGAGAAAATATTTGTAACTGTATATGTAGTGGAAGAGTTAAGACTGACTAACACTAGAAGTCTCCAGTTTGAAGGTATTTCAGAGCTTTGGGATAAATGAGAGAACAAAATTGTCTAAGGTACTTTGAAAATGTTTTGATAAAGATTGGGAAGTATCACCACAACAAAATAACTGGATGTGTATACCAGCTAGATTTTCTGATTCTAGCTACAGTGTTGAAAATGTGTGAATAGATTATTGACTGAACTCTTGGGGGAGAAGGTTGTGGACATTACTGTCTGATAACTTCTCTCACAAATTTTTCTTGTAGTGATTTGCTGTTCCTTCTAAGGACTAAGAATCAGCTAGATGACATAGCATTGTCCTTCACTGATTATGTTCTTTGAGGAATTGATTTCTCTGCCCCCTGCAGACCTCTGTAGAATATGAAATCAACTTGTGCATATGTGATTTGGTTAGGTCACACACAGCCTTTTATTCCCTAAGCAGCATGAAAAGTATTCTAGAAAAAAATGATTATAACTTGTATTTTAACATTTATGTTGTTCTGGCAAATCTTTTTTTGATTTTGAATAATGGTA